ATACAAAATACATGACACTTCTATCTCCACATTGCGGCAATTCCGAAGCTTTGCGTTGCTCGGTTTTACAAACGGGAAGTGTAGTTTATGGAAGCTTGTCAATCACTTCATTTGAATCAGTTATCAACCAATCAGAGCTCTGCGTCCAAATATTGGACGCATGCACGTAAACATCATAGGAATCCTTGCAGGCTCTCTTTCACCCAGAGAGCCTGCTCGCAGGCTAGGAAAATATAATAAAAAATTTCCCCAGAACTGACCCTTGTGTTGCTCTGAGTCGCTTCCTCTGAGTCGCACCCGTTGACTGTGACAAACTGTCGACGTTCTGTGCATGAGATAATTCTTTTATCACAACCAGATATCTCCTCTTATTCCAAGGTCATCCTGCAGCTTTTGTTCTAATATGTTGTGTGACGGTGTCGAAGGCCTTGGTAAAATCGATAAACAGTATTCCCACAAATAACTTCCTTTTTACTTCTCGCCAATTTCCTGTTATATGAATTAAAAAGCTGTTCCGCGTAGACTTTCCCTTCTAATACGCCCATTATCTGTTGTCAAGTAAATTTTGTGTGACCGCATGTTCAATATATGATGTTACTTGGGACGCATGATTCAATTACTCTGCTTAAAATACAAAGTAGATATAGTCGTCTATATAACACGTTGTGTCCTCTTCTCTTCCCTTTTTGAAAGCCGCGCTAACTCTAGCTGTTTTCCACTGATCTAGTGGAGTACACCCTTTGGCACTATGTTCGAATACTCTCTTAGAAGATGGAGCGATTGACTTCGCCGCAAATTTTAAAAGGCGCGCTGATACTCCATCAGGTCCCGAAGCTTTCTTTTCTTTAACTTGTTAATCATTTCCTCAAGTTCCTTTTGCGTAATCATTATGTTAGTCAGATTCAGCGTATATGTATTCTCTCTATGGATTTGTGTAGGCTGAATTTCGTCTGCTGGGCCAATAAATAGGCAACTGCATGTACACTACAGAAATGTTTATGTAACAGTTTGTTTGTAACAGCATTTTTCATCATTGTTAATACTTTCTTTCTGAGCCTTCTGCATGTAGTCATCCCACAGTATCGGGTCATTCAAGTCTCGTTTCTTTTTAAGTGCCTTATATAGAGCTTTCGTTCATAGTTGTATCTTTGTTATCCAAGGCAGGATTACTACGTACTTCTATTTGTTTGAGCAGCGCGTGTTCATTGCATATCTCTGTAGAGAGAGAATTCCATGCATATAGTAAACGTCAGCTGGGTCGTCAAAGACCTCGCATATTTGAAAAGGCACACAGGCAAATTTATTGTAATTTCTGACGGTACTTATTTTAGATGGGTCTCGTGGGACGCTTGTTGTCAAGGTTGCATGCATAAATTATGTCGTGATCTCTGAAATTCCCAGCCCAGGGGACAAATTTCATCCAAGATTTTGCAAAGCAACAATTTTTTCCGAAATATTCGTTGTTATGATTCGGTGGTCGATATATATATATATATATATATATATATATATATATATATATATATATATATATATATATATATATATATATATATATATATATATATATATATATATATATATATACAGGGGCGGCGCTATATGTTTTTTAAATGTTTTTGGACAAGATTTCCCCAATACAAAATTGTGCGATGGCTACTTTGCTCTATTAACATTCGTTACCAGTTCCCCAAGTGTTCAACGCAGTTTGACGTAAGCAATAATTTTTTCCCGAAATATTCGTTTGATTCGGTGTATATATATATATATATATATATATACATTTGCAAATTCTCGGCAAAGCATGAATTGGATAGGAAGGAACGAAATTAAAATGGTTGAGTAAAATTGGCCAAATGTAGGGAAATAATAAGGAGAAAATTAACGAGAAGCGGTCCGTGTATTGGAAACATTGGGGTATGAGCGATATCTTCACTAGTGAAGACATCGATCACGTGACTTTTAGTATTTATACAATTTTTTCCTTGGGACTATATAATAAACATAACATTACACGGTGGCTTGAAGATATGACTTTTATCTTTTCGTGTTAAAAACAATATTTTACTCACTCGCTGCGCTCGTTCGTAAAATATTGTTTTTACCACTCGAAGATAAAAGTCATATCTTCGCGCCGCCGTGTAATATCGTATATATATTCTTATTAGCTCTACTACGGTATTGAGCACTCTACTCATATATGATTCCAAACTCGATACATGTCTGTATATATATATATATATATATATATATATATATATATATATATATATATATATATATATATATATATATATATATATATATATATATATATATATATATATATATATATATATATATAT